AAAAAAAAACAAAAAAAGAATAATTTTTGAAATTATTGAAACCTATTTTGCAGATTAAATTACTTTTATAATGATCATGTAATTTAACGTAGTAAAATTTATGTTTATAAGAAAATTTCTATTTTTATTCTTTTTGACAACTGTCAAAAAGCGTCACATTTAACTTAACAGCAGATTTTGCATTGCTTATAGAGTTTTATATTCAATCATCAGTTGAAATTTTTGATCCACTATTTGTTAATTTTTGTACCAAACTTTTGCACTTCACTGACATTTTTCAAATTCTATGTAGTCGACCAGTGTAGTTTCAACTGTCAATTTACAGACAACCAGAAGATTGAAACTAGACTCAGTTTTTGTAGCCAAAGATCATGCTTTTGTTCACGTGTTTATCAGTCAATTTAACCTGATGTCATAGTCATTCTTCCATTTCTGATTCATACTTTCGTTTGATTATTCAAGTTGTTTATTCGACTTAATACTTAACAATTTTTATCAAAACACTTTTCTGAAACATTAATAAACTAATCTGTAAGGTAGGCGAAAAGCAGATGACAATTCCTTGTTGAGTTTCTTTCGTCTTGTCAACTCTATTTATCTTATGGTAGTAAACTACATTAATTAAAAAATAAAATTACAAACCTTAGTTGATAAATTTTAATTTAAAAATTTTCTACAAATGATTATATTTGACTGTTGTTGAATATTTGTCTGTTTGAAAAATTTAGCTTTATTGATTACTCGAATACCTTCTTCACTAAAACATCTAAACTTAAACGAAATGCTTCAATTTTCAAATATTCAAAATTTAGGTTATTTTTTTAGCAGAAAATTTTTACAGACTTGAAAAATATTGTTGAGCAGTTGATGTGACATCAGTTTACATTTGAAAACTTCGAATTTGGAGAATGTCAATAAGCTTTTCCTGTTTTTGTATAAGATTAAGAAAACCCACGTAACAACAGCTAAAGTGTAATCATTGTTGAAAAGGATTGCGTAGGTAAAGTTACCACAGAACAGCAGAAGAGCATTTAAGTTTTAATAAAAAAACTATTTGAGAACTTACTCAGTAGCCTAAGAAAGCTGAGAAAACGACAACGGTTCAAAAGATGCAGGTAGATAATAAAATAGCAAGAGCCTCTTCAAAGTTATTTGCCCTTATTAATGTACAGTTTGTTGCAAATTCAAAAACAGATGAACGTCTACGTGTAATAAACTTTAGAACATATTAAGAGCATTGTAAACTTACATTTTTACCATAATTTTTTTTGTAAACAATTTTCAAAATATCGAACAAAATTTTTGATGAATATGATTA